CGTTCTGCTAGCTAATGTTCTGCTAGCTAACGTTCTGCTAGCTAACATTCTGCTAGCTAACGTTCTGCTAGCTAATGTTCTGCTAGCTAACGTTCTGCTAGCTAACATTCTGCTAGCTAACGTTCTGCTAGCTAACGTTCTGCTAGCTAACGTTCTGCTAGCTAACATTCTGCTAACTAACATTCTGCTAGCTAACGTTCTGCTAGCTAATGTTCTGCTAGCTAACGTTCTGCTAGCTAACGTTCTGCTAGCTAACGTTCTGCTAGCTAACATTCTGCTAGCTAACGTTCTGCTAGCTAACGTTCTGCTAGCTAACGTTCTGCTAGCTAACATTCTGCTAGCTAACATTCTGCTAGCTAACGTTCTGCTAGCTAACGTTCTGCTAGCTAACGTTCTGCTAGCTAACATTCTGCTAGCTAACATTCTGCTAGCTAACGTTCTGCTAGCTAACGTTCTGCTAGCTAACGTTCTGCTAGCTAACGTTCTGCTAGCTAACGTTCTGCTAGCTAACGTTCTGCTAGCTAACGTTCTGCTAGCTAATGTTCTGCTAGCTAACGTTCTGCTAGCTAATGTTCTGCTAGCTAACGTTCTGCTAGCTAACATTCTGCTAGCTAACGTTCTGCTAGCTAATGTTCTGCTAGCTAATGTTCTGCTAGCTAACGTTCTGCTAGCTAACATTCTGCTAACTAACATTCTGCTAGCTAACGTTCTGCTAGCTAATGTTCTGCTAGCTAACGTTCTGCTAGCTAACATTCTGCTAGCTAATGTTCTGCTAGCTAACGTTCTGCTAGCTAACGTTCTGCTAGCTAACGTTCTGCTAGCTAACATTCTGCTAACTAACATTCTGCTAGCTAACGTTCTGCTAGCTAACGTTCTGCTAGCTAACGTTCTGCTAGCTAACATTCTGCTAGCTAATGTTCTGCTAGCTAACGTTCTGCTAGCTAACGTTCTGCTAGCTAACGTTCTGCTAGCTAATGTTCTGCTAGCTAACGTTCTGCTAGCTAACATTCTGCTAGCTAACGTTCTGCTAGCTAATGTTCTGCTAGCTAACGTTCTGCTAGCTATCATTCTGCTAGCTAACGTTCTGCTAGCTAACGTTCTGCTAGCTAACGTTCTGCTAGCTAACATTCTGCTAACTAACATTCTGCTAGCTAACGTTCTGCTAGCTAATGTTCTGCTAGCTAACGTTCTGCTAGCTAACGTTCTGCTAGCTAACGTTCTGCTAGCTAATGTTCTGCTAGCTAATGTTCTGCTAGCTAACGTTCTGCTAGCTAACGTTCTGCTAGCTAACGTTCTGCTAGCTAACGTTCTGCTAGCTAACATTCTGCTAACTAACATTCTGCTAGCTAACGTTCTGCTAGCTAATGTTCTGCTAGCTAACGTTCTGCTAGCTAACATTCTGCTAGCTAACGTTCTGCTAGCTAATGTTCTGCTAGCTAACGTTCTGCTAGCTAACGTTCTGCTAGCTAACGTTCTGCTAGCTAACATTCTGCTAACTAACATTCTGCTAGCTAACGTTCTGCTAGCTAATGTTCTGCTAGCTAACGTTCTGCTAGCTAACATTCTGCTAGCTAATGTTCTGCTAGCTAACGTTCTGCTAGCTAACGTTCTGCTAGCTAACGTTCTGCTAGCTAACATTCTGCTAACTAACATTCTGCTAGCTAACGTTCTGCTAGCTAACGTTCTGCTAGCTAACGTTCTGCTAGCTAATGTTCTGCTAACTAACATTCTGCTAGCTAATGTTCTGCTAGCTAACGTTCTGCTAGCTAACGTTCTGCTAGCTAACGTTCTGCTAGCTAATGTTCTGCTAGCTAACGTTCTGCTAGCTAACATTCTGCTAGCTAACGTTCTGCTAGCTAATGTTCTGCTAGCTAACGTTCTGCTAGCTAACATTCTGCTAGCTAACGTTCTGCTAGCTAATGTTCTGCTAACTAACATTCTGCTAGCTAACGTTCTGCTAGCTAACGTTCTGCTAGCTAACATTCTGCTAGCTAATGTTCTGCTAGCTAACGTTCTGCTAGCTAACGTTCTGCTAGCTAACGTTCTGCTAGCTAATGTTCTGCTAGCTAACGTTCTGCTAGCTAACATTCTGCTAGCTAACGTTCTGCTAGCTAATGTTCTGCTAGCTAATGTTCTGCTAGCTAACGTTCTGCTAACTAACATTCTGCTAGCTAACGTTCTGCTAGCTAATGTTCTGCTAGCTAATGTTCTGCTAGCTAACGTTCTGCTAGCTAACATTCTGCTAGCTAATGTTCTGCTAGCTAACGTTCTGCTAGCTAACGTTCTGCTAGCTAACGTTCTGCTAGCTAATGTTCTGCTAGCTAACGTTCTGCTAGCTAACATTCTGCTAGCTAACGTTCTGCTAGCTAATGTTCTGCTAGCTAACGTTCTGCTAGCTAACATTCTGCTAGCTAATGTTCTGCTAGCTAACGTTCTGCTAGCTAACGTTCTGCTAGCTAACATTCTGCTAACTAACATTCTGCTAGCTAACGTTCTGCTAGCTAACGTTCTGCTAGCTAACGTTCTGCTAGCTAATGTTCTGCTAGCTAATGTTCTGCTAGCTAACATTCTGCTAACTAACATTCTGCTAGCTAACGTTCTGCTAGCTAACGTTCTGCTAGCTAACGTTCTGCTAGCTAATGTTCTGCTAACTAACATTCTGCTAGCTAACGTTCTGCTAGCTAATGTTCTGCTAGCTAACGTTCTGCTAGCTAACATTCTGCTAGCTAATGTTCTGCTAGCTAACGTTCTGCTAGCTAACGTTCTGCTAGCTAACGTTCTGCTAGCTAACATTCTG